TTCCAATGAGTCTTGCAGTGATTTTTTGTATGTGATTTTCCCCCCTTTTGGCTTGAATGGATTAATGGTGTTTCAATGCATTCCTATGGAAAATGGTGCTTCGACTTACGACCATTTTGAGTTACGATCATCTTCTGGAACCAATTAAGTTTGTACAATGATCATGTAGTCCCTTTAACATTAGTTCAGACTGTATAGGGAAAGTTTACTGAAATTTGTAGGTGCATGCCAGATTTGTGAGGGTAAAGACATGTGGTAAAAATTGTATTTGTTTTAGTTTGGCTTCTTTCACAGGGGATACCTTTCTTGTTTTCATATTTTTTGTGCACTGGTATTTTCATTTTACACAAAGAGCCACTTTCAGACACTTGTTTGGGTTTACATTTTGGGTTTCCTTGTATTCAAAAAGTCCTTAAAACCCATAAGAACTACTCTAGAAAGGCAGAGGGAAGGCAACAGAGAATCAATATACTCCCAAAAGCAGAGGCAGGGCAACAGAGAACCAGTGTACTTCAAAAGCAGTCATCACTACATGAGAAAGAAAAAACATCAAAAACTCCACCAAAATAGACACCTTTAACAGATTAAATACACAGTAAATTAACCAAATAACAATTTAAAAAATTCACTTACCCACACACTCAAGAAAAAAATATATAAAACAAAAAATACCCATGGCCTTCTTCCCAAAACCCAAGAAAAGCAAACAAGCGAATAGAGCCAACAAACTACTTTCCCATCCAAAACTAGAATACGAGATTATGTCATCTCTACCACTTGACTTTAATGTTGACAATGAAGAAATTGAAATTGCTAAAAATTTTGTATGCCTTGATTCAGTAATCGATCCAAAGAGAGACCGCAGCCAAGAAATTAGAAAAAGACTGAGATTTAAATGGGCAGCAATAAAGGAATTAGACAATGATGTGTCACTGGATGTGTCACTGGATATGTCACTGGAGGCCAAGGCCAAGATTATCCACACCATTGTATTTCCAATTACTATGTCTGGGTGTGTAATCTGGACATGGAAGAAAGCTGACAGGAAAAATATTGATTTGTTTGATATGTGATGCTGGAGGAGAGCTTTCCATATGCCCTTGATCTCCAGAAAAATGAACAAGTGGGTCCTGGATTAGATTGAGTCTGAACCTTGTCTGGAAGAACTAGTGACAGAACTGAAGCTATCATATTTGGGGCACATCATAAAAAGACAAGGATTTCTGGAAAAGAAATGGTGGGAAGAGTTGAAGGCAGACACAGGACCAAATATCTGACTCCATAAAGGAAGCCACAGCTTTAAATCTACAATTGCTGAATAGTGCTGATGAGAACAGGACATTTGGGAGATCACTCATTCATAGTGTCTCCATAAATTGTAGGTGACTTGGCAGCATGTAACAGTAGCAACGCTTGGTGCCTTTTCTTGTCTTCCGTTCTTTGAATCCAGCAGGCAGAAGCAAAAATAATTTAGGAAAGGAAGAGACCAAACAACAACAAGACACGAAAGACGAATCTTCCGTTCTTTGAATCCAGCAGACAGAAGCAAAAATAATTTAGGAAAGGAAGAGCCCAAACAACAACAAGACACGAAAGAGGAAAAAGTCCACAAAGAAATCGGGAGGGGGGGAATA